TTTCCAGGAAAACTATGATAAAAGAAATCAGCAATTAAAAAAACTAATGAAACCAGAAAGAATGGCAAGGAAAACTAAACAAATTTACAGGAACATTAGATTTAATTTGAAGGAAAGAAATAAAAACCATGCTCACAAGTCTATAACACAGATGTAAAGCTAATTACTAGATTATAAAACATCATGAAATCCTAGGCATGTGAATCTGTAGGCAAGTGTACCAATCATATGTGTAAAAGTAAAAACATATATAACCGATAAAAAGCGATAAGAATACATATATATGCAGTTAAAAGAATATATAAATGAATAAACACATATATAAATGGATCTCAGAATATACTAAATTTGGTTGTCCAGAGAGAGAAGTTTTAAGAACTGACACTCCACCGGCGACGCCACCGGCGACTAGAGATTTACATATGCTAAGGAAAGCGGGGCTGGGAGCTTTAACGCCTTCGCGAAAATCCTTAGCTTCCTCCGCCAGATTTACAATCGTCGACGATACTGTCCTCTCGCTTCTCTCCTCCGACGCCATATATAATTCAATACAAAAATCAACTTGAGAATTTCCAAAATCAGTACAAAAAACCTAAACTCCTCGCCAAATCATAGATTAATTTTGAACTGAATGCCTCCGAGGGGCCCAGGTGTTGTAGAGAAGGGAGCAATGGATAATTGGAGGTTCCTTAAGAATCGAACAAAGTGAAAGCGGGTAGCAGGGAAAATGAGAGTACGGGCGAGTTGGAGATAGTGGTGGCTATTTTTAGTTAAGGCTTAGCCGTTCTAAACGCGCCAAAATTTATCATTGACCATGAACTTTAGAACATTACTCGCTAGTCATTGAACTTACAAAACCGTTAAATCGTGCATCACTTCATCGTTTATCATCAGAGAAATGAACTATGGATTACGTAAATAATGGATTTTCACACTTGATACAATGGGTTAAATATCTCATTGACCATTAAATTTCCACAATGTTTTCGATTGATCATCGAATTTTTCACAATATTTATGACTAGCCACTGCGTTTAGGACATGATGAAAATTAGCAGTCAAAGGTGTCACTATGTCAATATCAATTAACGTCGTTTACTCCATATATTATTTTAACGGTTGAGATGGTGTAACGATTTTATAAGTTAGTGGCTGGGCATGATACTTTTAAAGTTCAATGGCCAATGATAAATATTACGAAAATATATTGGCCATTGGTGCATTTATTCTTGATAATTAATCCTCTTCTAAGTCGGAGGATAAGTACGAAATGCTAGAAGGGATAATTGCAGCGAAAATCCTATATCTTTGAAATACTAATAGACTTTCTCCAAATATTTGATTTATTATACTCATCACCTCTAACATTTTCAAACATTGCAAGTGATTCCCTTTTGGACGATTTCCATTCTCATTTTCGTCAATTGACCAAAAATTTAACTTTGACAACATTTTTAATATTTTTAAAATGGTTAAAAGAGTAACTTTCTATTTATCATATTAAATAATTAAATTAATTAAATAACATTGGTAAAGGTTTAAATAATTAAATAACCTTCTATTTATGTATGTGGTAGACTCGCAGTCATTGTACATTGGCGCAACCTTAATTTAATAACATTAGTAAAGGTTTGGAGTTGAAACAGATTACCTAAGTCCAATTATTAGAGTTTTGATTAATAAATTAGTCATAATTATTGAGCATGACGTTTTCAAGTAGTGCTAATGCGTATGAATTAAGCTCTTTGTACAAATAAAATGTAAAAAAAACATTACACATATACAGAAGAAAATAGTGCATTAGCTGATTGAAATGTATTTTTGTCCAACATTCAATTAAATCTTATCATCTGTACATCTGTCAAAAAAATTGTCAATCATTTGTGTACATGTAACAATATTGAACGCGTATAATCTCCTACTCGTGGATGAGAAATAAGGAAGATAAATCAACTTGGTGCTAAAAAAAAAAATAGAAAGAAAAAAGTCTTCTTTATACTCAGAAAACAATCGATGAAACTTTTACATGGTAATTTTTGACATATTGATTTAGGTTTAGAGTGACGATTAAGCTTAGAATTTTGAGAGAAATGTTGTCATGATAAGTGGTGTATCGCTTTATCTTAAAGTTATGGTGAATTATAGATTGTATCATTATCTAATTTGTCCCGGGACATGATAAATCATGATTGTGATGTTTTTTTGGTCCCATAATCTATTTTCCAACTGATGGACATCTTATCTGTACTAACAATTGTTTGAAAAGAATGGGTGTCACAATTTTGTCTATGCTTCACATAAATACTTGTTCCTCTGGGTCATGCTACAAGTAAACCACATTTTACGTCATTCTTTACATTTTACTATGTGACATCTACATCATTAATTTTAAATCTTGAAATGACATCAATGCATTGTCACCCTCCACGTAGGGGATGTAATGTTAGATGTACACTTGAATGTACATCTAGCAAAATAATGTTCTTTTTTGGCACTAAGGATGTTTGGTTAGGTTTAAAAGGTTAATTTACAAAAATTTATAAGTTTATTTTGAAACTCGAATTTTTTATTGATTAAAATTAAAACAAATTAATTAATTATTTATACAATGAGATAAAAAAGTAGTTTTTTTAAAAATAACAAAAAAAATCAATATACTTAAAATACTTGAAAAATAAGAAGTCAGGGCATGTTTGATTTGCTTCTTTTTTTTTTCATGGAACTTGGAATTTAATTTTCTTTTCCCATCAATTGACATGTTTGATGAGTAAAATTTGGAGAGGAAATGGTTTTCTTGGCCAAGGCTCACACGCCTTCTTTTCCATAATTTTTGGGAAATTCAATTCCCACCAATTTGGTGGTAATTGAATTTCCAGTTCACTGTCATATTTTTTAGATTTTTTTAATTTTTTTAATTTTAAATTTTTTTTTTTTTGGTAATGGAAACAAATTTCATAACAAATTGTAAAAAAAAAAAAAAATTTACTTGTAAAATAAAGTCAAACGAACACTAAACTTTATTTAAAGAAATAATTTTTTAGGAAATAATTTTTTTTTCTTTTTGGCAATGGAAACAAATTTTATAACTAATTGTGGAAAAAAATATCAGTTTAATGGATTATTTCCACGTAAAACAAAGCTAAACAAAGACAAAATTTAAAAATTTTTCGAGTAGAAAACTATACCAATCAAACACGTTTAATTAACAATTTTCTGCAAAACAATTTCTAGACAATTACTTTCCTTGGAATTCATTTTTTTTTCCACCCATTTTCCACCCTTACAATTAAACGCACCCTTACTTTATAACTATTATTTTAAGCATATTCAGATTTCATCTCTCAATGCTTTGTCATTTGAAAATGAAAGATTAAAACGAATGGCACCAAAACGATTTTCTGGGACTATTTTATGGACTCCATTTTAAATTCACTTTTTTATGTCTCTGAGCTTATATGCATGGTAGCAAATGGTCTTAGAAATTTAGAGTGTTAGTATTTAATTGCTAAAATTTATAATATTAACCCGTTAGTCAATGAAATTGATTTCATTGATATAAATTATCATTGACATTGTTTTGCCTCATAGAATACTTGGTAAATCAAGTTGTGTGTACAAGAACGAAATTAGAGGGAGCATATACGTTTCAAAGAAACGACATAAAACCGCTACACTTGAATTTGAGTACTATGAGTTTTTATCGTCTAATCTTGTGATACTAATGAACTTTGTGCTAATTGTTGAAGAAACAACACAGACAATCTAGACATGACTACCAAATTCGGCCTATTTTTTACACATCAAGTTACATCTGAGTTCCATATATAAGTATTTGTTGAATGAATTGAACCCCCACCAAAGATCGAATTGGTCCAACTTAATAGGTTAAATTGGTTTTTCTATTTCAACTTTTTAGGTACTTGCAACCAATGTAAACAGTCGAAGTAGTGATTTTGACAAGAACAAGTGAACCAATGAGGAAAATGAAACAAGAGCGTTTTTGAGACTCGTTGATCGACATTCGAACTTGTTACGTCAATTTTAACTCGTTTATTTAAACTCTCATATTTTATATGCAAAGAGACTTGGGAGGCAATGGTGTAATAAGAGCATCTTTGATTTTGCTGGTCAAGCTTATAGCACCAATGTTTAGTTCATCTATTTAAAATCTTATTCTTCATATACAGGTACGCCCGGAGGCGGTGGAAAAATAAGTGGGCCGATCTTGTGGGTAGGATATAAAATTTTCAATCTTGTCTAATGCAACAGATATATCTTAAATGAGATCAATAGTAGGTCTTATTATAATAATAGTGGATACGATCATACGAAAAGAGAAGTTGAGTTGCATGCCTCAGATCATATATGTTGTTAGGTACATCACAAATAGAACCACAAGGACAATGTTAAGCTAACAACTCTTACCTACCAACAATTGTTTTGCATCCAATACTATGATTCCATGTGTCTTTCCTTAGATTTATATATAATTCAAATTTTGTAAATATTAAATTTCTCTCAGCAAACAAGTTATTCGAAGTTCTATAATAAGTAGTTAATTAATTTGTATCTTGAATACTTATGGAGAAAGAAGAAGATGGAGAAGCTGCTGCTTTTATATGGGATTGTGGGAGTCCTTTGTATGATTCTTACGAGTTAGTTTCATTTACTTACTTTATCGAGAGACACATGATGGTATTGCCGAGTCAGTTTGAATCGAGTACATCAAAGAGGCATGTGATGGTGTTGCCTTCGTCTGCTTTGTCTGAATCGAGCGCATCAAGATCATCAGAGAAGGAAACAACTGGCATGAAGATGAAGAAGTTTTTCGATACCAAAGATAAGGTAAAAAGGGCAAAGAGTAGATTTTATAGTTTTTTTTGCTCGTATAGGTTTATGAAGAATTAATAAGAAAATAACTAACAATGGGCTGATTATCAATGTTGTTTCTGATTCTACTCGCGATTACGTGTTAAAATTCTAAAATCGATGAAGACTATTTGTCTAAACAAGGTGATATTAAATTAACGGTGTATTTCCTGCGTATTTATTTTTCTCTCATTCGGGTAATTGGCCGGGCCGATATTAAGATTTGGAATTCCATCTTAAAAGGTCTACATTGTTAAGTCATGTATTCCATGTTTTCATCTTTATTCAATATGAGAATTTATCCCTCAACAACCGGCGTTTTTGTATTGCAAAAATAGACGAAATATGAGTTCACTTCCCACGGTTGACGGTTAACATCCCAACTATCGATAAAATAATGTCATTTTGAATAAT